TTCCGAAAGGTCATCAGGGACACAGGACTCGAGCTTATCCAAACCAAGACAGAGGGTCAAAACATTAAGAAATGCACTTGCATACCAGAGAGGATTACCTACCCAAGTGTTTAACACAAAAACTGTGAGCTCAGGCTTGTATCCTCAACTGCAATCAAAAACAATCGATTGTAGAGTGATACATGCTGTAAAATCAACAGCATTGCCTTCCTAGTTATCAGAGCAAGCAGACAGAATACAGGGAAGAGAAACCAATGTCTGATACACCCTAGAAGACCTACTTTTTCAAACAAGAAGGCTATTTATAATTTGTATATTATAATTTCAAACAATAGTTCTCAAGAACATCTTCTGGAGCTTTTCAATTACAGCTCTACTAGACCTTCTTTTCACTCGATCCAAACTGCACTGATCAACTTTAAACAGATAGTAATGCCTTTAGGTAGAAATCTTTGTAAAATGACAGCTGAAGCTCCAGAATTTATGTCTGGAAAGACTGGGAGTGATTATGTTAAAAACAAAATGCCAAAGAAGGCTGGACAGAACTTCTGTCTAATAAGTAAAACTACATTTCTCACAGACCTATTTACCAAAATAGTCAATCCAGCACCAACAGTAAAATACAGGAATAGGTTGATGTCAAAAACTTACAATATAGAGACTGGACATTGACAACAATATTATGTCCTTAATTATCAATCCCTAAAGTTTATGGAAGCAACAGGAAACTGCAAGCTTATACAAATAAAAAGGAGGATGAGTAAGGTGATGCCTTCTATGGCAATACAGCACTTTTGCCACCAACACCAGCCAAAACAACTCTGTCTGTCTGTGTGACTGAGTTAGATGATGTGGTCTGCTTAATTGGTCCAGAAACATGACTCCTATTCTGTCAGAGATTTTTGTCTCTAGCATAACAAATACAGGGCACTGTAAAACACCATGTGAACAATGGAGATAAGTTCTTCCACATGTTTTTGATAATTTTTCATCATTAAGATGATTAAAGAGTAAAGAGAAACTTTACATTTATTCATTCACATACCTTATACCTGAGATTTCCTCAGTTTCCCCTTTGAAGTTTCAGGTACCTTTATTTTAGTTTACACTTGACTTATGCAGAGTGTCTGATCTTAGCAGAAGCAACTACACAGACTCCTTTAACAGTGCACTCACAGGGAAAAACAGGAAGTATCAAACCTGCAGGCCAGACACTGCCAGTGAGACTAGAAAAGTGCAATCACTTTCAGTTTTGTTTCTGAGACTAAAACCATGAGCTTGCAAAAGCTAAAACTAAAGACTACATGTTTTCTCTTGCCCTATCCTTAAAATTAAGGTTTTGCCTAAAAGGTTTAAGTCACTCAATTGAAATGGTGATCTAAAGCATCACGAGCACTTTTGAATCACAGCTCTGCATGTACAGAAACATGAAGCCATTAAGTAGCAGTACTGACACAGCACTGCAACCTAACACCATCCTGCACATGGCCTTGAATAAATCGGTCCAGCTCTGCTGTGCTGCTACATGTACCATCCCTGCCCCATTCTCTTCCCCATGGCTAGTATAGTGCTATGCACACAGCTCTGTTCTGTATGGAGAAAAGGAGAGGAGGAGGCCAAAACAGTTTCTTCCTCTCTCCCCTCAAAAAGGCTCTCACAGAGCCGAGATCCCAGGTATGCAGGGTCAGCCCTAGGAAGCCAGCAGTTTCAGGATTGCATGCACAGGGGCAGAAAGTCCCACGCACAGAGACAGAAAGTCCCACACGTCGAGAATTATAAGGCAAGGCAGGTGAGGAAGAGGTATGGCTAATTGCACTACTTACTCTTTTTCCTTAACACCCTAGATCACAACTGGAGTAAGATTCCCTTCACCAAGCTCCCACAAAAGTCTCTTAACAGGCTGTGAAATGCAGTACACCTTCTATCAGTAATGCAGCCACTGAAGTTAGATCAGCAGTCACAACTCAGTTGTTCTTTAACTGAGCAATACTCACACTTGTTTCATCTCAAAGTGCTTAAATTCAACACGATTGTATTTTTACTGTGTCAAAGATGACAGCTATATTAGTTGCACAGCGAAGCACCAGAGTCCATCTACTTATCTCTACCAAGGTCATAAGACTTCTGTAAGACTTTTTTTTTTTTATTTTGACTTATTTGGAATTTTTAAATGTTGTGGGGAATAAAAGATTTCATAAAGCTTTTAATAACTCCCATCTATTGTATTTTATTTTACTAATTAAAAAAAAAAAAAAGCAATCCTAACTTTCCCCTTAAAGTGATAGATTTTGAGCTATCAAAACTCAGGAAGAGAGTTCCTGGATGATACTAAATGGCTTCACAAAACAGTAAAATGTTTTGCTTCTAGTAAGAGCTGAATAAACAGAACAAGAGGCATTATCAGGAAGTTAGAAACTACAAAACTGAAGTATTCTTACACCAGTGTATACATCCATGGTGTGCCTGCATCTCAAATGCAGAGAAAGATATAATCCTCTTCCCCATTCAAAAGCAGAACAGCTAAATGGAAAAGATGCAGAAATAGATAATAAGCATAAACAGAGATGTGAAGGGCTACCACCCATGAAATAAAGAAGACTCTGGCTCTTCAGCGTACAAGATGCAACCAGAGAGTGAATACAGTACACAACAGAAATCTAAAGTGACAAGTGGTATAGGGAAGGTGAGTACTATGATTTTCAGAACACAAGAACCAGAAATTAGCAAATCACCTGAAAGCAGGGTTGACATAAACCACATATGCCTACCCCTCGGCCTCCCCCATACAAAAACAGATGTTTCATTCTTCACAGAAGATCTAGTTGCCATGAAGAGGAAGTCACTTCCAAATATCATGGACAGTAACCGTTTTCTCAGATTTCGATGGCAGTCCGCTCTCAGAAGGCAAAGTCACCACGAGTTATGAAGCAGAAAGGTACTCCCTTGACTCGGGCTGTCCCCGAAACTGCCGGGAAGCAGGAGAGCGTAGGGAGAGGGCTGTCGCCCTACTTCCCTCACCCCGCTCTTCTCCCCGGGTCCAGCTCGGGACTCGGTCCCTCCGAGCTGTCGGCGTGGGTTCCCACCTCCATTTAGCAGCACCTCCGGCAGCAGAACCGCGGTGCCGCGCAGGAGGAGCAAGGCCACACGCTAACCCGGCCCGGGGCAGCGAGCCGAGCCGAGCCTCCCCCCACCCCGCTCCCCTTTTCGGGCAGACAGCGGCCCCCGAAGCCTCCCTGCCGTCACTCCACGACCGCTGAATCACGACGGGGCCGCGGAAGGCCCCTCGCCCCACATGAGGGGAAGCGCGGGCGGGCGGAGAGCCCGAGGAGCGGCCGACTGCGCGGCACCAACCCCACCCAGGCCCCGCGACAAGGGGGACCGGCGCCCGCTCCCCCGCGCGTTACCTGCGTGGCGGCCCCCGGCCGACAGCCCCGGCTGCTCCCGCTGTCAAAACCGTCCGCCGCCCGCCCCTACGGCGCCCGCCCCGCCTCGCCCCCTCCAGCCCCACGAACGGGCGACGCCATCTTGTCTACCTGCCCTCCAACTCCGCCTCCCCGGCGACGCGCCGGCGTCAACGCCGCCAGGGTCACCTGCCCCCCCCTTCCCCCCGGCCGGCCCAATCGGGAAGGGGCTCGCGGTGACGTCAGGCACAACCGGGAGGGGGAAGGGGCGGGGCGACGGTGAGTACAGCCCCGCCTCCTCCGGCGGTTGTGGCGGGGCCGGTCTCCGTGTGTCCCCCCCCCCTCCGTGTCCCCCCCCCCTCCGTGTCCCCCTCCCCTCCGTGGGCCTGCCCCCCATTCCGGCTCTGCCCGCGGCTCCTCCAGCTCCAATCCCATCTGGGCACGGCCACAGCCTCCCCCCGGGGACGCGGTGAAGGCGGCGAGCTGGGCCCAGACGCAGCCGTTTTGCCTGACAGACCTCAGCCCTTCCCTCAGCCGCCATGGCCGCCGCGGCGCCCGCCCCCGTCCCCCCACCCGGGCGGGGCTGCCGCCCTTCCGCTCGCTGAGGGGTCACTCCCACGGGGATGGGCCGCAGCACGGTGCTTCCACCTCGGAGCAGCTTGGGCGGAGGGGTTTTGTCTTAAGTGCAAGTGGCAGTTGCGTAGGGTTTTTGTTTTTTTTTTTTTTTTGTTTTTTTTTTTTGTTTGTTTTTTGTTTTTTGTTTTTTTTTTTTTTTTCACAGCTCCCTTGTTTTCGAGGTTCGCTAGATGGAAACACAAAAAAAAAAAAAAATGGCATAAAAGAAATGTCTTATTTGTCAGGAAGACAGTATGTTTGCTGATTTCATGCGACTCGAAGCACCAGAGGGTTTTGAGGGGTCAGGATATGGCTTTTCTTGAAGTCCGCCTGCACGTCACACGTTTTTCTCTCTCGTCCTTTTTCTTTTCTCTGCAATTTCACCTGCAATACGTCGATCGCCGAGTTGGAGCTATTTTAAATTTTTGCCTCTGTAAGCGTAGGGGAAAAGTGCATATGAGCTCTGCGGGCATCAAGAAACGCACCCACCCATCCACGCCAGTTTTAAAGCAGCACAATGAAATACAAATATTCCGTATGCCCTTTAATCCCCCCACAAACTGGGGGTTTTCTGGTGGGGTGAAGCCCCTCGACATTTTGACAGAGCGCCTCACCACCCACCACGCGGCGTGCACCCGACCCCTCGCCGTCACTCGGAGAAGCCAAGTGATAAAGCCAAGCGATACAGACAAGCTATAGGCAAATGAGCCTCCTTCCAGATATTTCCCGACAAGTTTCCGTTGCTCAAAAATAAAAAAGCGAAAGAAAAGCGCCAGCCCCCTCGCCTGCCCGGTGCCGACACTGGGGAGGCGGGGGACGCCCGCCCCGCCGCCAGGGGGCGCCGCGCGGGGCCCCGCTGCCTTGGCATCGGCGGAGGGCCGGCTAGCTCGCCGGTTGCTAGGAAACGAGGCTCACAGGAGGGGCGGGGGAGCCGCCGCAAAGGTGCGACGCGACTGTCGTAAAAAAAAAAAAAACTTAAAAAAAATAAATATATATATATATATATATCCCGGGGAAAATGTCGTGAAGTGCGGTCGACGGGGCCTGCGTCGGAGAGTGCCTGGGCCCGGCTCCCCGCGCTTATATGCCCTGTCCCCCGGCGGCCGCCTCACCCTCCTGCTCCATGTGGGGCTCGGGCCGGGCTCTCGGCTTTTCCTCCTCTTCCTTCTCCTCCTTCTACTATGGCCCGGAAAACAGTTAGCAGGAAGCGGAAAGCGGCGGCGGCCGCCGCCGGGGGGCTGCAGGGGGAGCAGGTAGGCTGGGGGGAGCGGGAGGGTGGGGGGCAAGCCGGTGCTCCCGGTGCTGGGGTCGGTGCCCGGGGCGGTGTGTGTGTGTGTGTCTGTGTGTGTGTGTGTGTGTGAGTGACCCCGGCTGGGGGTTGCCGTGTCCCGCTTGATCGGTTGGATCGGGGAAGGAGGGGTGGCGGGGTTCCCGTGCCTGGGGGAAGGTGTTCGGGGTGTTGGTGCGATACAGCAAGCAGCTTCTTTTCCCCCTCCTTCCTCTCCTACGCACCCCGCTCCCCGCCCCGGGGGCTCTCCCGGGTTCCTGCCGACCCCCGTGGGGTTCTGCCGTTCGGCCGGTAACCGCCGGCTCCGCGCCGCCGCCCCCCGGGCTCAGCGATGCTGCGGGGCCACCCCGGGCTGGCCCGGAGGAGGCCGATGAACGGCGCGGTCGGTATTGGGCCACCCCACCCCCCCCCCCCCGCTGTGTCACCCCTAAACCTGCCGAGCCCACGGCGGGGCTGCCCGCTCCTATTTTAAAGTGCTTCTCGGCTTCCCCTTGTCTCTGTGAGCGTCTCAACCGTGCCGACCCGCTGTGGACTGTTTCTAATGCCACTGCAGCGTCGCTTCAGCAAATATTTAATGTTTAATTTTACGTTGCTGAAGGCTGTATCAGCATTTTGGACCTAACCTTCGTGTACTATATTCCGTGGGTAGTTTGGAAGACTTAAGCATATTGTTGGGAATCTCTTTGAATTTGGAAGGGTCGGTGTCTTAAGTTTGTTCAGGTTGTTTTATCCAGTTTCCATGTTTATCTTCCACAGTATGGCTGGGACCACTCAGTTCACAAAAGGAAAAGACTCGCCCCAGTGAAAAGGTCCCTGGTGTATTATCTGAAAGGTAGAGAGGTCAGGATGCAGAATGAGTCCAGTTATTACCGCTTGTTGCACGGATATGCAGCCCAGCATCTTCCTAGCCTCCTGAAGGAGAAAGAATTTCACCTCGGCACCCTCAATAAAGTGTTTGCCTCGCAGTGGCTGAACCACCGACAAGTGGTGTGTGGGACAAAATGCAACACAGTAAGTGCCACCTCTCCATTTCTCTTTTCTCTGTTAAGTATTCCACCCCCCAAAATGATTATTACTGTAATCGAAGTATGTAGACTGCCAAGGAAAATATTAGGAAGTAATTAGGAGTGGAGTGAAAGTTGCACACAGTTAATTTTGAACGAAGGTGATGCTTAACGATGACCCGTTCTCATCTGAAAATACAGCATTGTGCAGATGGCTTTGAGGCCTGTACCTCATGCAGCATCTGCCTAATCCACACAGGGAGATTTACAGCTGTTTGCAGGATGGAGGGCAACAATGGGGTTGGATCTTTCTTCTTGTCCTGCAAATGGAAAGTTAATGAATAACACTAGCTTTGCTAAATGGTTGCTATCATGCCTGGCAGAAGTTGCTAGTAAGACTTCTTTCATTATGCTCACTCTTCCAAGATTTGGTTTTATGTACGGTTCTGTGCCGATGATTTAGAAAAGTTGCTACAAAACTAAAAACTGATTAAACTCCAGAGCTAGAAACGTTACAAGCTTAAAAAGTTAATTTCTGGTCTTCAGGAGCATCCTTTGCTTGTTGACTTTGTGATTTTTTTTTCACTCTAAATCTGTTTTCAGTGTTCAGATAACGTTTCTTCTGTATGTACCTTTATATGCTTCAGCAAAAATTCAGACTCTTAAACTGGTGCTTTGGATTTGAAACTTTATAGGGGAATATTAAAACGATATCCTAAATGATTAGTAAATGGAGGAGATCATACTTCTTAGGTAATGTTCTCTCTGCCAGAGTTAATAGCCCAACTTGATTGACTGAGGTTGCAATTGCATATTTGAAGTTCTGATTGAATTAGTGCAAAATCCCAGATTTCTTCTTTGCAAGTTGGTTGGTGGCACAGAAATGAATTGAGCATCACAAGGAATGTATAGATCAAACAGCTCTTAAACCTCAAAGTATATCAGTTGATGTGATTGTTTCTTTGCCTGAAGACTTTTTTTTATTTTTTTTTGTGCAGAAGCCGTTCTCAGTGATCTGACCTGCAATGGACAGGGGTATTTTTTTTTAGTTTCAGATGTTCTGTTATTATTTGTAGTTACACAGCTGGAGGCTTTCATGCAGTAGCTCTTAAGAAGCAAGGCCTAGCTGTATAAGCAAAACAATCTTTTAACAGGAATAAGCCTGACATAGAATCTCTCAGCCTTCTTTCTTCACGTGTGTTCATTGCTTCACCAGTCAGTAGCCAGCGCTGTTCGTGGAACAGCTTATAGGAGACAAACTCCAGCTGAAAGACAAGCTTTCAAAAATCTTGCTTACTCTAGCAAGATGACTGAGTGTTTTATAGAGCTGCAACAATTTTGCTGTGTTCTGTAACTTCTGTAGCTCCAGCGCTGCTGCAGCGAAGATAAATGGGCAAGTGTATTGTTAATGCAACCTAGCAGAAAATTGTTTGGGACCAAACAATCACAGAACTGAAGAGGGATTCAACCATATTGTTCCCATTGCACACTCTGCAACGAAGTGTATGCTTCCACATCTAGACTTAATGTTACAGATGGAGCTCATCTTCTATTAAGCAAAATACAATGATTACAAAAGAAGTCACTTCAGCATTGTGAAAGGCTGTATATGAATTACGAATACTGTAATAGCTTTAGCTTGGTTGCTTTGTGTTCACATTTGAACAAGCAGAGCATTAAACTCTACACTCTAATTATGAGATTCTTCTCTCTCATCTCCTGAGCAAGTGACCTAATAAAGCAGAGAATTCCTTTGCCAATTCTCATACACTGAAGTTGTGGCATTTAAGTTGTGAGAGGATCTAAATCAACTAGGTTGACTTTAATGGGGTTTGCTGCATTGGAGTTGCATGTAATTAAAATTAATGCAACCGAAAAATATAAACCATAGCAGTTATTTAAATCAAAGCTTGCATGGGCACTGAAAACTTTTAGCATTTAATTTATAATTTGCCTTTGGCTATGCTGTGCCAGAAGAACTCACTGTTTTTAATAAGAAAACAAAAACACACTCCTGTCATAGAGGAGTAGGTTTCGTTTTAGTCACTTGACAGTACTAGTCACTCTAAAAACTGAGGAGAATGTGGAGTGCGCTGTCAGTTGTTCATTTTAAATGTGGATTATAACTTGCTTAATTATTTGGGGTAACTTTTTATCCTTAAAAATATCCTTGGGTATAATTGTGTATATGAAATAACTTTATTGTTCTCTAGTGGGTCCTGATGTCACGGTTGGCCAGCTGTAAATCAAATGTTTGGGTTTGTTAAGGGTACATGCTTTTTCTGATAGATTTAGAATTATGGAATCTACACAACCACTCAGGTGTCTGAAAATGCAAACACAGTCACCTGGGCTTTTCTGAGGCAGGAATCATGTTTGTAAGAATCTCCTGCATCTAGTATGCAGTGAGCTGCTTAATGTTCTTGAAATTCAAATGAAGGAGCAGGCAAACATTTGAGAGTTTCAGACATCTAGGGTGTGTCAGGACAGTATGTCTGTAATCAGCTTCTTCTCTTAAAACTTCTTGGAGAAACTGGGACTTGTGTAGGAGACGGGCTTATGGCAAATGAAAACACTAAAAATTTGATTGCTGAAGTTTTCTTCTTTTTTTTTTTTACTGTTTCAGGAAACAAGGAATAATAAAACAGCTTCTAAAAAGAAGGTCCAGTAATAATTTTCCAGCTTCTTTTGTTTCCTTAGTTCTATGTATGTGTTCAGGACACAATTCTTTTGCTAACTGTGATGTTAGGGATGAAAAAACACAAAGGCTATAAAACATTCCCTAAATACAAGACGCTTATTATCTTCTTGAGAATATAATTGACTGGAATCTAATATTTTTGTTTGCCTTTTTTTTCTTTTCTTTTCCCAGGAAGGTCTCATAGAAGTATTTGTGTTTAAAAACTTCCTTACTGAATGTTCTCTTTTGTTTTCTCAGGTGGCTTTCCCAAGGCATGAATTTCCAAGGTTTCTGAACACTAGCTGATATATTTTGCCTCTTTGGTAGATTCATGTGTTGCCTTGAATGCCCTACTGTAAATCACTATCTCTTGCTTCTTGTTAGAGATTCTAAATTTGCTCAAGAGATCTCACATCTGTTCTGTGTATGTCATAAAATTACAACCTACTCTTGTAGTCCAGGGGCTGTAGTGGTGAGAATACAATGCACAGTTACTCTTCCATCTGTGAATATGGACCCTCTATGGGGAAAATTATTTTCACTTGCTTGGCAAGTTAACATATCTTCTGACTTTGCCCACGTAACGAATAATCAAGAAGACTACTCATTTCTGATCCTGGATAGGAAATGAGAAGTCATGCTGCCCCAGTTTGTAACTCAGAGTCTACAGAACAGTGACCTAAACCTAGTGTAAATAAAACTCTGCCTGTCATTGACACCTCCATTCACCTTTCTTTCAGTGGCTTGTGAGTAAACAGCCAGGTGTTGTTTCTTGTCTCAAGAGCATTTGTTTTTCTCTCAACTACATGTGATACCCATGTCTATCTTCAGGCTGGTAGTTTCTGTGCCAGGTCTGGTGTGGATGGTAGAGATGCCCTTTAGCAGTTGAAGTGTCTCACTTCTCCATCCTTTGCCATCTGTTGACACGTCTTAACTGTCTGCCAGCCTCCTGAAATTAAACAGGGAGGGGAAAACACAAGTAAAAACAACAAATGTGATTTTGGCAGTGAACAAATTCAGTGCCATCACAGTGTGTGTCCATTAGATAGTAGTACTTCAGAGTTTCATAGCAAGGTGGAATGCCTGATTGCATGGTCTTGTCTCTGGAAATGTGAATTCAAATTCAGTCAACTTGATGGCTGCTTTTACCACTGCTCACTCCTCAGATGGTTTCTTTATATTATGGATTGTTTCACTTTGGACCCTTTCAAGGAGGATGTGTTAGGCCATTACCCACTTGCATCACCTGTACTACACAAACTGTGAGTATGTTTTGTGCTAAGATTAGTGCATGTTAGTGCATGGCTGATGTACTTGCCATGCCGTTCTCTGTGATACTTGAAAAGTCATGGCAGTCAGGTGAAGTCCCCAGTGATTGGAAAAAGGGAAACATTGCATTGATTTTTAAAAAGAATAGAAAAGAGAACCCTGGGAACTACCAACCTGTCAGCCTCACCTCTGTGCCTGGGACCATCATGGAACAGATCGTCCTACACCACTACTGTTCAGTGAATTAGGCAGTGGGATCGAGCGTGCCCTCAGGATGTTTGCAGACTGCACCAAGCTGAGGGTTGCAGCTGACACACCCGAGGGACGAGATGCCATCCAGAGAGACCTGGACAAACTTGAGAGGTGAGCTCATGTGAACCTCATGATATTCAGCAAGGCCAAGTGGAAGGTCCCACACGTGGGCTGGGCCAACCCCTGGTACCAATACAAGTCGGGGGATGAAGAGGTTGGGAGCAGCCCTGCAGAGGAGTTGGGGGTGTTGGTGGATGAAGAGCTGGACATGAGCCAGCAACGTGCGCTGGCAGCTCAGAAAGCCAACCATGTCACGGGCTGCATCAAGAACAGTGTGGCCAGCAGGTCAAGGAAGGAGATTTTCCCCCTCTACTCTGCTCTGGTGAGACCCCCACCAGAAGTACTATGTCCAGCTCGAGCAAGTCCAGAGGAGGCCGTGAAGATGATCAGGGAGCTGGAGTACCTATCCTAGAAGCACAGGCTGAGAAACTTGAGCTTGTTCAGCCTGGAGAAGAGAGCTCTGGGGAGACCTTATAGCAACCTTCCAGTGCTTAAAGGGGACCTATGGAAAGATGGGGACAGACTTTTTAATAGGGCCTTTAGTGATAGGACAAGGGATAATGGTTTTAAACTAAAAGAAGGTAGATTCAGTCTAGATATAAGGAAGAAATTCTTTATGATAAGAGTGGTGAACCACTGGAGCAGCTTACCGAGAGAGGTGGTAGATACCTCATCCCTGGAAACATTCATGATCAGGTTGGATGAGGCTCTGAGAAACCTGATCTACTTGATGAGGGCCCTGCTTA